TGGACATACAGTATCATCCTGGAAAAACAAATGTAGTTGCAGATGCACTTAGAAAAAAAGCTCTTGGAAATGCAAATTGGCTAATCACTCAGCATGAGCAAATAATCAAAGATATAAAAAAGTTAAAGATTTCAGTGGTCAATCAGAAAGAGAATAAAGATATGTTCTTAAATCAGCTAGTGATCCAATCTGCTTTGAAAGATAGAGTGCTCAATGCATTGCATTTCAAGACATTATAAAGAAAGTGCAAACATGACAGTTAGAGAACTTTGTTATGGATGGAGAAGGATTATTAAAGTATAAAGGCAGGATCTGTATTCAAAATGTTGAAAGCTTAAGAAAAGAGATTGCAGGAAGCTCAACTCTCAACATATGAAATTCATCCAAGCAGTACAAAGATGTATCAGGAATTGAGAGAGTTATTTTAATGGTTAGGGCTAAAAAGAAATGTTGCAGAATTTATAGCAAAATGTATTCCCTGTCAGATGATCAAAGCAGACATCAAAAGCCAAGTGGTCAACTACAACATTTACCTATTCCTGAGTGGAAATGGGAAGACATTACAATGGTTTTTGTAATTGGATTACCCAGGTCAAGGTAGAGTCGAGATGCAATATGGGTTGTTATTGACAAATTAACTAAGTCAACTCATTTCTTACCAATCAGGTAGACATTCAATAGAGAAGTTACAAAATTATATATAGATGAAATTGTGAGATTGTATGGAATTCTAAAATCTATAGTTTCAGACAGAGATGCTCGTTTCACTTCTAAATTGTGGAAAAAAATTCAAGATTTCATGGGAACACGATTGACTTTCAGTACAGCATTTTATCCCCAGATAGATGGACAATCAGAAAGGACAATTCAAACTCTGGAGGATTTATTGAGATTGTGTTTTAGTTTTCAATCTAGTATTGGAATGGCACCCTATGAGACTCTTTATGGAAGAAAATGCGGAACACCCTTGTGTTGGGCAGAAAATGGTAAAAGAAAAGTACTTGGAATTGAACTAGTAGATGAGGCTACTAGCAAAATCAGATTGATTAGAGATAGACTAAAGGCAATTCAAGACAGGCAATGGAAGTATTATGATGCAAAACACCGACCGGTGGAATTTGAAGTAGGAGAATTTGTTTTCTTAAAAGCCAGCCCAATGAAAGGTGTTCAAAGGTTTGGAAAGACGGAAAAATTGAGCCCAAGATTCATAGGTCCCTATGAAATCATTGAAAGGATTGGAAATATGGCATATAGATTGGATCTGCCATGACACATGTAAGGAATTCATAATGTATTTCACATCTCAGTGCTTCGAAAATATGTCTCAGATGATTCAAAGAGAATCCAGTCCAAATCAATTGACTTACAACCTGATTTAAAATATGTTGAGGAACCTGAAAGGATACTGGAATATGATGTGAAACAGTTGAGGAATAGAACAATTCCTTTTGTGAAGATTTTGTGGAAGCATGGAATAAAAAGAGATGCCACCTGGGAGAGAGAAGCATAAATGAAAAGTCAATATCCACATCTCTTTAACTAAGGTACGTTTCATTTTACTTGATTTAATTTTGAGGACGAAATTTTTTTAAGGGAGATTGTGAGAACCGGATCTGGCCGGTTCAACCGAACCAACCAATTCTATATATAGGAAGACGCGACCCAAAGAGGGTTGGTACTGTTGCCTTTCGCGAACAAACAAGAGGCAGAAGCAAGGCGGGCCGAGCATTTGCGTGGGAGTTATGGGGAGTTTTCTTTTCATTTTTTTTAGCAGATTCGTGATTAGGGATAAAAATAATCCACTCCTCTTAACTGATTTTCTATTCTTATCGCTAAAGGAGTGGAATTTATGAAGAAGTGAGAGGAACGATCAAGAGGAAGAATAAGAAGAAGGGCAAAGGAACAGATTTAAAGAACTCGGGAAAGGAAGGAGAAGGATTTTGAGTCGGAATAATCCTCTTTTGAAAGAAAGAAATCAAGTGGTGCAAGTTAGGTTCTTTAATGAATTCAACAAGGATAGAATTTTGAGACTGAGGTTGAGACAAGGATCGACGAACTGAAAGATCAAAGGGGGTAATTATAATTATGAAATTCAATATTTTGTATTATTCTTTCAAATACGATATAACGTTGTGTAGTATAGTATTACTTTCAAAGTTTTAATTTTAAAAGACTATTTTATGTGAAATGCTAAAAAATTAAAATGCCTAACATGAATACAATTAGGAATAAAAAGAATGTGATATAGTACACGTATGCATTAAGGAAATATGCAAACAAAGAAATGATATATGAAACTGAATAAAAATGTTCAAGATAAATGAAAAAGAAAGGAAAAAGATGTGTATGAAAACTACAGGAGTTCACCCCCTTATGGTACTGGCTGGGGACGCCATACTCGTGCACATAAAAGGAAAAGAAAAAAGTCATGGAAATGGAAAAATAAATAATTGGAAAAGGTAGTACCTTTGGGTACATTAAGACGATGCTCCTGTACAAACTAAATGGGAAAAGGAAATATTAAAGTTTCAAAATCTCTTAAAATGTTTTAAAAGAAAATAACCAGAGATGTATAAATTACTTAATGAATAAAATAGAGTCAAGAAATGTTAAGATGCATATCAAAGAACATTTATATTGATGGTTTTAATTATTACCCACTGAGTTTGGTTTTAATTATTACCGACTGAGTTTACAACGTAAACTCCCCCCCCCCCCCCTATATTAATGTTTCAGGTAAATCCCCAAAGAAGTAATGGTTGAAAGTGAAGAATTCGTAGATAGAAGATGACGTGCAAATGACAACAGGTAATTTATATTTTGAGTATTAGTGGCTCTTCAGTAAAAATGAAGTAGTATAATGTTTAATAAATTTTTTTATTGTCCGACTTTTTGTTCCCGCCTCGTTAAATCGAGCATCTGGGCCGGGTCGTGACAGGCCTCCCCTTCTCCCTCCCCACGGCCTTAGCTCCACCTCCAACACCCCCTACCAACCTCCCTAGCCGCCGGTGTCACCAAACTGTCGTCAACCTTCTTTCTCCTTGGCTCCACAAATCTCCCTTCACATTCAAAGCCCTTCTAACTTAGTAACAAATAAAAATTTTGAATTCAAATTAATTTGAATTTGAATTTTGTTTCTAAAATTAGGATTCTTATTTAAGAAAGTATTTGAATTAGGTCCAATTAATTATTTAATTGAATGTGATTTAAATATTACTCCCTAATTTAAGGTTCCAATCAAAATCCTTTTTTTAATTCTCTTTCTATAACCTCTCCTCCCTCTTTTAATGCCGCCGGCCCCTTTCCGCCCTTCGTCCTCTTTGCCTCCAAAATTTGAATTCCCCTTTGATTACTTTCCTTTTATCAAACGATTTAAGTTAGGAAAATATTTGATTTCAAATTCTAAGTAATTTTGAATTTGAAATATTTTCCTAATTTAAGATAGCCTATTTTAGGAAAGTTACTTAAATTAAATCAAATTAAGTTTCTAATTGGATGTGATTTGATTTAATTATTCCCAATATTTTGATCTCAATTAAACCAAGAAATTCAAATTTCAAATGTCACCTTTTTTTCCTTCTCGTTCTACATCACAAAAGAAAAAGTACTCAACGTTATAAATAATAAAATGAAGAAAGAATACTCAAGAAATTGAGTAATCTACTAGATATTGAGAGGCGGTGGCAGCATGAAATGAAATAGTGTTAATATGAGGGATCAAGAAGCATTCCAGAAAAGCTTCTGAGCAAGAAGCTACAGATGCCAAGCAAAAAAAAAAGGCTAATGAGAAGTTTATAGGAAAACTAGTGGGCAAGAGAGCATGAGGAAGAGAATCACCAAGAAGCAACTAGCACTAGTAGAAGAGAATGAAGAACCAATGAGCAATGACTCAATGAATATCAGATATAGAAGAAACAAACAATCGATGTGACAGATATTAAACCGAACCAGGAAATATAAATAACAATTTTGTTTTGAGCCGGAGCTAAGTGTGTAACGCTACTACGTTGTGCATTGGTGCAACACAACACACGCTTTGTTGCAAGCTTGTGCTTTACATATAATGATATGCAGGATAAACTCATTGCTTTACTACTAAAGCACACATTTAATAACATTGATACATGTTGAACAACTTTACTTAATCTAGTTAAAACGCATTAAAACTAGCAATCAAATCCATGGCTTGAATGGTTTGTAACTCAGTAGAGGGGACCTGACGTAACGAAGCAATGATTGAACACCTTTAGCTTATGGAACTAGCATGGAAATACCCTAGTTCTTTTTTCTTGTATCTGGTGTACCATAAAATATTTAATATTAGCATGAAGATTGAGGTTCATGGATTTAAATGATTCTGGTGGTGGCAGCATAACCAAATCCAATGTAAGAGATACTTCTGCATCATGGATGCATGCACAAACAAGCGTACACATGCACATGTCATCCAAGCTTGCAATCGAAATCAACTAATTATAGCCAGTATTTTAAGAACAACCAGGTTGACTCGGATTGGTTCTGTTAACAACAAATTTATATTAAATTTAAACTACCAAAACAAATCAAAGAAAACCAAATCCAATGCAAGATACATTTGCATCATGTACACACGCATGCACACACACTTTCAAGGCTCTTATTTTTTCAATAATGCAATTAGTTTGTGCCATGCCAAGCTTGCAAGCTTATAAATTAACTAATTATAGCCAAAGTTTTAGGAGCAACCAAGTGGACACAGAGTGGTTGTGTTAATAACTAATTTATTTTAAAATTAAAACAACAAAAACAAATCAAGGTATTGATCAAGAATATGACAACAGGCTCTGCAAGATTATTAAACTATTGAAGGCAGAACACAACTTGAACTTCTCAATTTAAGAAAAGGAGTTCTTAAAACAATCTCAAAACGTTACCATATAACAATAAATAAATAACATAGCAAACAAAAAATATAAATAATTTACCAAATAAAAGATTTATCAGTTTATGATTAGTCTTACCGTGACTGATAAGATTCGTTAAGACTAGTAATCAGATATTCACTCATGGAAAGAAGAAGTGGGCCAAGTTCTGTTCCAGCTGCACCAATAGCATCAGCAAGTGCTTTTTCTGGATCAGGAAATCTGAAACTTCTAGGTTCCTCTTTCTGTATCCAACCGCCCATCACGTGTGACGCCACCTGCAGGAATTAATTCATTCTCATAAATAAGAATCAGGCATACAGTCTATATTAAAGAAGTAAATTTACATACAGAGAAAAAACTACGAAATTAACATGTACTTAAAATTTTTGTGTGATAATACACCTTTTCAGCAGCCGGATGACAGAGATTAAATGGAATTGGACCACCACCACCTCCACCACTTAATAAAGGATTGAAATGAGAAGTGGTCAGTAACACAGAATCCTGATCAGGATGAGGTTTAATCCTTAAGAAAAGTAAACCCATAAACATGAAAATAGCAGGAATCAGCAGCTGAAAAGCAACTGTTCTCCTATCCCTTCGAGCAGAAATCGCCCTTTTTATAAAGAGGGCTTTTAAGTGCACCCACAAAGCTGATCTTACAATTGTACCGCAGCAACAGATTTTAATTAAAGAGCGTACAGCAAAACCAAAGATTGTGGAAATGATCAAACCAAAAACTTGTCCAGCAGCACAGAACAAGCTTCTGAAGAACTCACAAGAATGCACCCAGTATCTTTTAGATCTTGAAAATCCAAAAAGTGTACTTTGGGAAACCTGACAATCTGTAGTTCTTGTCTTGTTGAGACTTTTTTGATACTGATGATAATCCACTTCATCCAACCTTTGCCCTGCAACTTTCAAAAACACTTCCTCCAATGTTGTAACTGAGATTCCATAACTCTCAATGCCACCACAATCATTTTCCACAAAGGTAGAATTATCTTCATTGTTTCGCCTTCTTATACGGCTCTCAATCTCCCGGAACATATTTACAAATAACGATGATGAAGCAAGAGGTAGTCTGAAAGATATTTCTGAACCTACCTAAATGAGAAAGAAATGCGAAGGGAAAAAAACATTTCCAATATTCAGAATGAAGATATTCATAACGAAAGTAAAATAACAATTAAGACATTGAATATAAATTAAAAAACACATAAAAGTGAAAATTATCTGTTCTGCTGCATCAAAAAACTTCATATAGCACAAGAAACATGGAATAATTGGTCTCTGGAAGAGCTAGAGGAATTAGTACAGAAAGGAATCACGATGTAGTTGGAAAAATATATGTTGCAAAACACTGCACTGCCCATATCAAGAAAATATTGAAGTACTGTAATAACACAAGGTCGCGACTAAAATTTGCCATATTTGTTTTCAATGTAATTCCCCATCAATGCATGACCAAATAGGCAAGGCATAAGCAAGAGAGGAGTAAGAAAGACGGTAAATAATTAAGAATGTTAATACGAAATTCTACTCTTATGCATTTCCGTAGCCTTCCAAAATATGTCAATCGTAGACAATTGATCAGCTAATAAAATAGATTAAACAAATAAAAATCATGATTCTGCTGAGAAAATTCTAATGATTTTGATGATTATGCGTCAATCACTTGTTCCGTCTCAAAATAAAAATAAAAGAAAACACTCAAGTAGACTTAGGATAAACTAACCAAAGAAGAAAAATAAATAAAAATGTAGCTATGGAAGTTTCATTTTGAAAGAGCAAGTGCACGTTCAAAATCAATATCAACTTCATTTGGGAAAAGAGAATTACATCAGATATGCATTCAGCTGTCGGCACATGATGATGAACGATCTCACCACCAACTGAAGAGCGAGATGAAGTCTAACGATTACCAGACCAACCAGCAAAAAGAAAATAAAATTGGTAAAAATCAGAAGAATAATAAGTAAAAATTAGAAGAATAAAAATATTTTATTTTTTAAAAAAAACCTTGGCTATTGTTAGTGTATATCCAACCCCATAACGGTTCTTCAAGAATAGAGAACTGCCATAACACAATTAAGAAAAAAAATTATTAACAGTGACAAAAACCAGAAAAAAAAAATTTCAAGGAAAAACTATAATGTTAGATTATAATTACGTTGCATTATCCATACATTTACAATGAGATTGTTTGTTGACTATAAAACGAGACCTCTAAATCAAAATGGAAGTAACCAAACCACTGATCAAGGACAATTCTTTTGTGTAAGCTTAAGGTATCTAAGAACACTCCCAACTGCTAGGCCAGACTGTTAGACTGGTTCAGTGTACCGGTCCAGCCAGTCCGAACCAGACGCGAAACTGCGGAAGTTTCTCCGCCGACTGCGAAGGCCGTGAGAGCCGCATGTCCACGGGAGCTCATTTAGGAAGGTTTTTGAATGGATTCTAGGAGGGAAATTGAATGTAGGGATTGTTTAGGGAATTCCTTTTGATTTGTATGCATTAAATACTTTGTTTTCCTAGGGTTAGGTCATCTTGAATTTTGGCTGAAATTTGAGATCTCTTAGATTTAGGTTTTCTTTGGGCTCTAGCGGCATCTAGAGATTTGGGAGAGATCGATCCTCCTCTCGAATAGAGGATCAATTGTATCTTGCTATTTTATTTCATCTTCTAGTGGAATACAAGTCCTTTGTTGAGTTTTCTCTAAATTTTCTCTTGATTTTGCTGTTTTTCCTGCTGTGAACAGCAAATCTGGGCTGTTTTACTGCTGTGGAGTGTGGACAGCAGTAATTTTGCTGTTTGACTCTCGATTTGGGTTGGGTTACTTGCGAACTCAAGAGTTTCCTATCAATATGGAATTCCTTTTGATTTGTATGCATTAAATACTTTGTTTTCCTAGGGTTAGGTCATCTTGAATTTTGGTTGAAATTTGATCTCTTAGATTTAGGTTTTCTTTGGGCTCTAGCAGCGTCTAGAGATTTGGGAGAGATCGATCCTCCTCTCGAATAGAGGATCAATTGTATCTTGCTATTCTATTTCATCTCCTAGTGGAATACAAGTCCTTTGTTGAGTTTTCTCTCAGTTTTCTCTAGATTTTGCTGTTTTTCCAGCTGTGAACAGCAAATCTGGGTTGTTTTACTGCTGTTGACAGCAGTAATTTTGTCGTTTGACTCTCGATTTGGGTTGGGTTACTTGCGAACTCAAGTGTTTCCTATCGCAGACCTACGTTTGACTACTCTATGTGATACAACCCAATTCAACCTGATAAGGTCTGCCTAGTGGCCACCTCTAATGTCATGTAACCAACCCCTCTTGGTCAGATTGTGCAACTTTCCTCTAGTTTGGCAGGAAGCAAAAAAGTTAAAAAAAAACAAAAAAAAAAAACATAAATGTTCACGAACTTAACACAAGAAACAGCAGTTTTCCTTTCAAACTTGCACATGATAAGTAAACGGATAAATTAAAATGGTAAAACTATATCATCATTCCCATCGCAAGCTCATTTGTACAAATCAGGGCTATTGCAATTAGAAAATCATTGATAAAGTTATTGAAAATTCCACCTCAACAAGGATCATCTAACAATAGAGCCAATTCCAAAAATTTCTATGCAGATCAACCCTTATAAAAGAAAATTTTTCTATCACAGTGAAGGTTTTCTTTATTTTCAAGGAAGCTATATTCTAAGATATGTTCAATCCCACCAGTGACTCGTCCAATTTCCTAAGTTTACACCACAAACTTAGATGTTATATTCTACTGTAGAAATGAAATTTAATTGTACTTTTAGCATACATTTCTCAAATTTAGAAAAGCATAAATCTAGAGAAAAAAAATGCAACAGCCAAAATGACGTTTTTACAAATTTCATTAGAAAATTCTTGTCATATTAAATCAGCCACATAGAAAATTTCAATTATTAATTTTAAGAGATGAAAATGTCATATCCTGTTGCTTCCAACATAATAGATTGTTAAGTTGACAGTGACCTCCCACAACATCTTAAGCCGCCATTTGCCATGATAGCTATTCGATCACCAAGAACATCAGCTTCATCCATGGAATGTGTTGTTAGCAGAATTATTCTTCCTTTCTTGATCTTCTTTATCAATTGCCACGTTGAACGCATAGCATATGGATCCATACCACTGGTAGGTTCATCAAGAATGATAACCTGTTTATTAAGAAACAAAATCCATAGAAGCATTCCGGAAAAAAAGGTGCAAGGTATAACCAGTTCCATCGTACCTTGCTATTTCCGATGAGAGCAATTCCAAGCGATAATTTCCTTTTCATTCCTCCAGAAAGAGATCCTACAACTGAGTTTACCTTATCTGACAGACCCACCTGCACTCAAAATAGACAAGAAAAAATACTCATAATTAGCAAGAAAAATTTTGGAGGAAATAAATATGCAACTATGGGCACCATACTTCTCAAGCTAACAAAATATAAAAAATAATTGTTAATAATTCCATCTTTAGCATCTGGTACTAAGGGATGGTTAATATGATAAAGATGATTAACAATAATTTTAAAAGTAAGATGATTTTAAAATCCATGCTGAACAACAATCTTCAAGTTAATTATTGATGTAGGCAAAGGGGGGGTCAAATCAAACCCAAAAAAATTTGATTTTGACTTCCCTTGAGCTTGCTAGCTCATTAATTTTTGAGCTAAGATTTAGCTCATTATGAGCTGGTTTTTAGTTCATTTATTGAACTAAGAGTTAGCTCATTATAAGCTATGTTTTTAGTTCACTTATTAATTTATTAGTAGCTCATTATTTTTGTCTGTTCTCCTTCCCCTGGCCTATTCGTTTCCCGTGGTTGGCTCTTGGGTTCCCTTGCTTGGCTCCTTGGCTTCCTCGGTTGGCTGTTGGGTGGCCTTTCCCGTGCTTTGGTGCCTCGGTTCCATGCGGGTCTCTTTGGTTTCCACGGCTGCCTCTTTGGGTCCCTGGCTGGGCTGTTTCCCGTGGCTGATGGGGGGCTTTTCTGTGGCTTTGGTGCTTCGTTTCCTGGAGATGACTGTTGGCTTTTCATATTCCCTATTTAAATAAGTTTTTAAATTAATGTTATGGCTATTTGTATTCCCCTCTCATGCCTATATATAGGAATGTTTTGTGTATGTTTAAGTGAAAATGTGATTTTTGGAAGCTATAACCAGCCGGTTTGCTTGGAAAAGCTTGCGAGCTTCTTCCATTCTCCTTCTCATCTTCTCTTTGAAAATCTTGCGAGCTCTTTCCACCCTTCGTCTCGGCTTCTAACCTCTTTCGTCTCTCCGCAAGTGACCAACCCACTTGTATCCCTCTTCTCAAAAGTAAGCAAGTTTATGGTGTCTTGTTAGAGTCTTTGTTTGTAAGTCGTTTAATTTTAAGAGTTGTAAGTCTTTATTTATAAAAGTGTTCGTTTATATGAAATGTAAGTGTTTGTTCTAAAATTTCTAAGTTAACACTTCTTTTTGGGTATTTTGTGTCTTCTTTTATATATGAAGTTATCTTTGTTTTTGTGATCAAAAATTTGGGTCCCTCTCCCAAATTTTTGATTGCATCAATTATAAAGTGTAAAGTTCCGAAATATTACATAATTAATTTAAAAAAATAATAAAAATAAATTATTAGTTGAATCAACTTTAAAGATGAGTTCAAAATTTAATTAAGTTATCTAATTTGAATTGATTTGGGAATTTGACTTTATATGCCCCATAATGTTCAGATTTTCATTTTAGACAAGAAAAATTCAACTTTTGACCTTGAGTACTTATTTAAGTCATCTAAGACTAATATTGATTTGATTAAAAAAAATGAATAAGCATCTAATAAGTTCGTACAAAGTGGAAACTGATGTGAAACAAACAACGATATTGCAAGATTGTAAAAAGAAGCTTGTTTTAGTAATAAAATTATAGGGTTAATGTTTCACTAAGTTAAGAATTTCAATTTTCATGGTTATTGACTTGCTTCTAGCATGCGGTTATACGATAGATTAACAGAGCAATTCAAGACAATAATAAGACGATAGCAAGACAAACCTGCAATTAACAATAATCCAGCATTTAACAAATAGAACTTTCACCTTCGAGTTTCCCTCTCGATTGCTCCCTGGAAGTAGGGTTAGTGGAGGATGAAGGTTAGCAAACCCAGTGACGCCACTGAAAGAAAGAGGATGCCAGCGGTTTTGATCAACGGAGAGTTGGCCGGAGTTGGAGAGACAGGTGGTCGTCCATCGATGACCCACAATCCCGTGGGTTTGATGCGGGAAAAAGATATAGGGGACCCTATATCTCTCGATCGCAAAAGACACGACGGACTTCTACGGACGAAAATGACTAAAGATGAGGAAAGAGACGAACAAACTCTTACATTTCAAATTAAACTAAACAAAAGAAAACTTACAACAATACAAACGACTCTTGCAAACAAAATGACGACACCCTAAAGTTGCTTCACTTAGAGAAAAGATACAGATGGAGTGACACCTGCGGAGAGACGAAAGAGATTAGAAGCCCGAGAAGAAAGGTTGGAAAGAGCCCGCAGGATTTCCGGAGGGGATGAGAAAGAAGGGTGGAAAGAGCCCGCAGGATTTCCAATCAACCCGCAGGTTAACAGATTTTTTTCCAAAAATCAAATATCACATTCAACT